AACTTACGGCGGCAGATTCAGCAGCCTTGAGCAGGAGCAAGAGAAAAAGGCCTCTAACTATCATTGTTGTACAATCTACATGTAAACTTTTTCTGTTACCATTTGCCAGAGCGAATTACTGTGTTGATAAACCACATAATAGATCAAATCTAGCATTGGCGTTTCCCAAAACCCCACTCATCATAAATAAATAAATAAATAAATATATATATATATATATATATATATATATATATATATATATATATATATTTATTTATTAAATATGTATGTATGTATGCATGTGTATATATACATATATATATATATATATATATATATATATATATATATATATATATATATATATATCATTGACAGAGTAATTTTGAGCTTTAAATTGAAAAGAAATTACATGCAGACAACGGCTTCTTTCTGAATATTTAGCCAAATATATATTTGACATAACCGATATTTTTTCCCCACATCTTTTCTTTCCCTCATTGCTGTATCAAGCAACCTATTCGCTCACCCATATAACCAGCACTGTTTCGGGTAGGTGAGTCAGGAAGGTTTGCGGTCTCGAGCTGATGTAACGAACTCGTGACTTTCGGGTTAGCTAGCGTGCTTCCTACCGTTTGACCAGGCAGTGCGAACTCTACTACAGATTTTAAATTCTTCAAAATACAATGGCCACATTTTACCTCTTCTCGTATTAACCTCAGTCTCATCCTATAAAAAAATCTCACCAAAATGTCGCCACTACTTAAAAATTTTGTCTTCCCCTTTTCAAAACCTCAACATAACCTCGCCACTGCTTTACCCACCTAGCTGTGAGGTTACCACGTGCGTAGGTCATAGCCGTGAAATTCAAGAACACATACACAAGGTATGAAATTAATATATTACTTATTAATCCGCCTAAGATTATAACTTCATTTCGACCTGTAATTAATTGTTGCACGCCGATAATAAACAATTGTAATTCAATAGTATTGCACTGAATATTAGAAGAAAAAATAAATCGATACAAAGTTGCATCAGAGTCCTACGCCTACTTCAGTAACACGATACTCGAACGAGTATTGGACATGAGGGAAGAGATTGAACACTATTTCGCAATTAATTAAATCTGTGTTGTGTTGGTAGTATGCTTGCATACTTAGTCTGGGTTGAGATCAACACATTCTATTGAAACTTACAGTCCATGGGGTAGGGGAATGAAAGTTCACCTGTTTCGGGTGTCCTCAGTATTTTATGGGATAATGTGGTCAGGATTTATTGCCCAGGCGCCTTTCATTCCTTATTGTCCGTCAGGTATTCATTAGAGCTGGGTGAATTCAGGGACGAACTACGGAATCCGAACTCGAGACTTTCGGGTTAGCAATCGAACGGTCGATATGAACACATAACATGTGTTTAATTTTGTACTAGACTAATAATACTTGGTGATTTTTTTTACACATACATGGTTTTGTAATGCTATTGAATGAAACAAAATTATCTATGCAATTCTAATTTTTATGCACGTAGCCACCATAGTCTATGTCCATGTATTTAATTAAACGTTAATCCCCCTTTTGATAATCCCCTCCCTTATCTTCTTTTAGTTTAAATTGTAATATCGGACGGGATTTCCTACAACGCAATTAAGAATTACGTAACAACATGAAATGCATCATACGACACGATGGCTCCGATTTCAGCCTGCTTTTCATTCTGGATTCACTTCTAAATCCTATGTCCATCCAAAAAAAAAACAGCGAGGTAGAAATAATTTTACCTTCTGGGTAGATTGCTACAGTGTTAACGTCCCCATCTAAGTATTATCTGTTTTCTGTACATCTAGAATCCGTGCATGATCCCCGTTCTTTTCATTCTCCTCACATCTTGATGTTTATAAAAATCTATTCTAGGAGTCCCTCCTATCTATTTTAAATTAAAACATCTCTAATGTGTAACCCTCTGCTATGTACACACTCACTACCAGCATTTCTCTAAATTTAATTAACTTTCCGCCTGTCTGTAATGTACCTTTCACATCACCGCCCACTCCTGTTACTTATGTTCTGTCTGATTAACCTTTTTCCTATTTATTATCTACCCTTTACAGTACCTGATTTTTTTCCACTACCTCCCCATTTTCTATCTCTAATTAAACATTTCCCTGTGTATTATCGACCCTTGCACATCACCCGCAGCTGATAGATTCCCCTTCGTCTCCTATATCGATAATTTGCACTCCACACTAAATTAATTAAAATTACAACATACCCATATATTTGGTGCGCGGACATTTGTCCACAGGTGCTTTGACCATAGGGGGTTTGACCATAGGGGTTTTGATCATAGGTGGTTTGACCATAGGGGTTTTGACCGCTGTGGTCAAACCCCCTATGGTCAAACCACCTATGGCCAAAGCACCTGTGGTCAAAGCACCTAGGACCATATATTTGATTATGATCCATAGCCAAGGCCAACAATAATGCGGTGAATACTATTAAAATAAAAGTATAACATGTTATAATTTTTTTTTACTTGAAGCGTCCGAGAAGAAGTGGTCACTGTTGTTAAACATTGAACTATCATCACATTTTAATGCGAATAGGAACATGTGGTTTGTTTTGAATGTTTTAATATATTTTCTAAAAACAAATTTGGTTTGAAGCAGTTTTATTATTTTTGTTACAATAATTTTCCTGAACGTACCGTTCTGTTAATGTTTTTACTTATAAAAACTTAATATGTTCATTTAGACAGTTTCCCACTGTTCAGATTATACACCGGTACACTGAACTCATTAGAGAGAAGTTGCAACGTCTTCTTTCTTGTTCTACATTCTTAATTGTAATATTGATGGTGATTTCCTCCAACAACTTTAAGCATGACCGTCAAAATGTTTGGCTAATTGCAGGACGTCGACGCTTATCTCAGTCTTTTTTCTCATTGCAGTTATTTCCATATATTTGTCCACCCAAGAACAATCTAGAAGTCAACAGTTGTTTGATTTTGAAGTTTTCTCTCCTAGATGTGTGGCTCTCTCTTCATAAGCCCGTGTTGGTATATCTGATAGCAGTTTTCCATCAGACTTTCTTACCGCATGCTCTGATTTTATCTAAAATAGCTCCTTCATTGCTTGTTGTTTGCTTGCAAAGAGAGGGGGGTAATGTTATGGTGTGTGTTTGATAATGCATGTTGGTGCGAACGAATATTGGTGCGAAAGTTATAATGAACGCATGGAAGATGTGATGCGGTACGCAAGAATGTGACAGTTCAGTGTAGGATCGTTGTTGCCGGGGAAGAATGTTAAATAGTGTTGTTCTTGTTGTGTTAGGGTGAGGTCGTGTATGTAGTCAAGTCTCAGTATCGTCGTCGTATGTATTATTATGGTGCAATAAACTGTGGAGATAACTAATGTCATTCTGTCAACTCATTGTCAACGTTGATGTCGTCGTACTTGTCAGAACTCTAGGTTGAATACTGATTAGGTAAGAGAGGAACTGAATGGTAGTACAAACCCTCTCACTGCATAGCTGCGCGATGGATACATAGACCCCAGTTATAACAGGTATCTACTGCTTTATTCAAACCAGATTATATCTAAGCTAAACTGTTACCACGGCAGTAAGTATATTAGAAAAGGTCTATAATGAAATCAAGAAAAGACGGAGAACCAAAATAACTAAGAACTTATCGACGAATTACTGGAAACCATAGGAAAGAAACGGGGAAAAAAGCAAAAGAAAGAAACGTATCGAATGCTGTTTAAATGGCCTATACTCCGCTGAGAGCTAAACAAGGCAAACGAAAGGGTGTAAACTGTAAAAATAAATTAATTTAGAGCTAGACCCAGAAAACTAGTCCATGTAATAGATTTGATGATTGTTGTCGTGGTCTAATTTTAAATACACTTTGTTTTTGTGTATAATTTGTTTTATATTTAATAATATGAAGATTAGTATTAATCTCTACAACTGGTTGTTAGATCCTTGTGCAAATACACGTAGGTAATTATTTTAATTCATCTACTAACCTGCATAAGATTCAATTATATCTCACAACTTGACACTAGATTATTTCAGTGCAAATTGCAATATTGACAATTTTATAAAAGTTAACAACCCATTTTAGTTAAGATTTATCAGCGTTTTAGACATTTAAGGCAAGAAGCTAATTTTTTTGCCAAAGTTTTGACACGTACGTCATTGTAGAATACAAAGAAACAAGTATAAACAACAATTGCATTTATTTCTATTTTTTCAAATCACATTTTTAAAAAGTTGTCACCGTTTTTTAAAACATGAAATTTTAAAACATTAAGAAACCACATTTTAAAAATAATTACTTTGCTTTACTAATTAAAAAATAATCGTTAGAAATAAAAGGGTTTATTTAGAATAAAAAATTAAACATAAGTTAATATAAATATAATGATGATTTTTAAAACATTGAAGTAAATCTTGATCTACACAATAAAACATATAAAAAAGTATTGATCCATATTTTTTCGCAGGTTTTACAACTATTTACTTGCATGTTTAGATTTTCTCACAATTGCATTTAGCCAGATTGTATATAAAATATTTATTGAATTTAAAACAGAGACAATATTATTGCAAAATATAACACGTGCATTGAAACAAACCTCAATTGTATATCAGTTTATATCAATTCAATAATCTACCATATCCTGCCACCATATATTAATTTTTAAAAAAGTAGGGTTTTATTTATAGGGAACATAAAACACGTACACTTAATCTAGGCGCGCTAATGTGTTACGCTTAATTTTTATACCTTCTATTTTTAGCTTTTTACCTGGGTCGAACACATTGATTTTGTGTTGTTATTTTCTTCGATGTAAAAAGTTGGGAAATGTAAACATTCAGAAAAATATTCTAATAATATATAGATCTAATTACAAAAAGCATTTTTTCTTTAAATTAAAGGTTGTCTATATTTAAAATAATAATTATATAAGAAGTTCAAAGTTTTTTGTTTTTTTTTTAAATTCGCCAGCTTCAAAGACAAATTATGTAAATTTAACTAAAATCAAGACTTCTTTTGAGCTACAAATAAAACGTACAATCTTCAATCATATGTTAAGCTTCATATCAATTCATATATCTGTCATATCTTGCCATAATATGTTTATGGAAATAAAAGAAATAATATGTTTTAGGTAACATAAAACACAAGTACTAGCCTCAATAATATGTTAAATTTAATATCAGTTCGAATATCTGTCATGTGTTGCCATTATATTAATTTTTAATTATTAAATAAAAAGTCAGGGTAGATTAGGGGAACATAAGACACACATACATTTAACGAGCGTCCACTATATGTTAATTTTAATGTCTATGTTTATATTTATCACTTGCTGTCTTGCAACACTCGGCGAATTTGTAGTCGCTGGTGTTACTGGGTCACTTGAACAATAAACGAATGGATTATCTCCCTTCCCGGGACACCAACACTTGCAGTCCTTCCCTACGAACGCCTCCCCTGGACAGATGGGCTTATTTTGACAATGGCCAGCGCAGTTGTACATTATGTTCACATCTTTGATGTCGTAAAAACTCACATTTTTAACCGTTCCAATAATGTCTTGATAAGCCGGGTTCTTTGTTCGCATTGTGGTTTGATTATTCGCACTGAAGTATGTCTTACCGTAGTGCATGATACTTGTGTAGTCGTAAGGGGTGTAATTCGCAAAAGTTTCTGGAAGCAATTTTCTAAAATTAGACAAACGCTGCTCTTTAATATTTGCGGTCATAATTTCAACATAGTCATCTCTGTCCGGCCGACTCTGTTCGTGATTATAACCAATGACATGGCCAATCTCATGAATGATAAGACGTTTTTTTCTGCAACTCTCAGCCAAGTATAACTTTTGAGCACCCCCAAGCATCCCCACTCCAGAAGAACAACCAGTTCCGTTGTCGAAGTCAACGTAATTTTTATCTGATTGATTCGCTGGCTCGAATTTAATGCAGGTGTGATTTTGCCATTCGTTTATGGCTTTCATGATTTCTTTCGTTTGAGTTTCATTAAAGATGCCACTAGATATTATGTAAGGAATTCTATTATTAGGCCAAAGTATTGTAGTGTTTAAAATTGCTCTGCTTGTTAATCCGTTCGTGTTGGTATTATAATTACTTGACATAGATGGATTCTGATTTTGAAAAAATTATTTGTTAAAAACATCACTTGACGTAGGTGGGTTCTGATATTGAAAAAGAATTTGTTAAAAAAACATCACGTAACATATATGAATGCTGAGATTGAAAAAAAAATTATTTGTTAAAAAAACTAATATGAATATTTTGTTCTTTACACAGTGAAACTTATTTACATGTGTAAAATTGTATGTGATTTCAGTTAAACATTAAAGTTGTATTGCACCTGTATAATACCCCAAAACAAATACGAAAATGTCTGTATTTAAATAGTTGAAGGAAACGTCAGATTTTAATTTTATTTCAATTACAATAAGCTTAAAAGTGAAAAACAAAAACAAGTGAATTGTATATACGTTTTTGCTTATATAGTTTTAAATAAATTATTATAAGACTTTCTAATCAATCAGTTGTTATGAAGTTTTTGATCAAGTTGATAATTTCAAAGGAATGCATCAGAACGAGATAATACAATAAATGTATGCATAAAATAGCTATAACGACATTTATACCTGGAGACTTTGTAGCTGTTTAGGGGTCAATCGCATGTCCAGTTCGTGAAGTTCGAGACTGTCGTCGTCTTGACTTTCTGGAGCTCTCTTGCTCATGGAAGCTTCGGTTATTTGCTCGTCGATTGTTGTAGTCTGGTCTGACGTAAAGGATATCTAAAACAGACGTCATTAAACATATATCAGAAGCTCATTTCAAAACACAATTACATAATTCAAATTTGTAACATGACTACTGTATGTAATTTAACAAAACAAAGAATAACATAACATTTGTTTCTCACAAGAGTAATATAATATAAACACTAAACATGATTAAAGTTTGCTATAGTGAATATTGTAAGATTCATTACAAAACACTTGATATTAGATTTTGTTTAAAATGACTAATGGAAAAAATCAGTTGTCAGTGAAGCATGAACGGCCAGAATGGTATGGGCTCAACTTGGAGGAGTTGCCTAAAACAGAGTGCGATGGAGAAGTGTCGTTGCATCCATATGCATTGCAAAGATTTCACGGGACTAATGATCACAATGATGATAATGATGATGATGATGGTGATGATGATGGTTATGGTGATGATGATGATGATAATGATGATGATGATGATGGTGATGATGATGATATTGATGATGATGATGATAATGCTGACGATGATGATGCTGATGCTGATGATGATGATGATGATAATAATGATGATGATGATAATAATGATGATGATGAAGATGGTAATGATAATGAGGATGGTGATATTGATGTTGATGATGATGATGATGATGATGATGATGATGATGATGATGATGATGATGACGTCAATTTGATCATTCCTTTGATTTTAAGCCAGAGGAGTATCATTAACACGATACAAATATAAAGAAACCTTTATTGTTTTAATGTTACTTCGGCCCTTGTATATAGCAGAAATCTGATGATACGTTACTTTTGTTGATACAGATCTTTAAAACAAAAACAGTTTAACACAGTTTATGTAAGTCTTTAGAAAGGAACCCTTGTCTTGGTGGAAAGTGCGACGTCACATAAACATTTTGCAGTGCTAAAACAGTTGAAGACCACACAAACCAAGATGTCCATTTTAAGAAATGTTTGCGTTAGTGCCATTTTCATTTAGTACTAATGTATCATGTATACCAATATCATGTATAACAATATGAAAGCGTAAAACCGCCTCGATCCTTAGCAAAGGATCTCAAACTCAAAATCTCATTTTTTCAAAAGTAGAAACTGTGACAACTTAATTTTAGTCCCTGTGGTCTTCAAATGGTTACTTGTGGAATGTCTGGATAGATTATCCCAAGGCACAAATGCCATTAGAAATGTATATAATACACTTGGTGCCCCTTTGTCAACAGTTCAAAATAGCATGAGCAGTAAAATTATAAGACAACCAAAAGAATAGCGTACAGCATAAGATCTGTATACAAACTTCACTAATTTTCACCCTCTGGTCAAAACTCTTCTATTTTTTAACTGATAGAAAGTTATAAAAAAAACACTGTATGTAATGTTAAAATAACATTTCTCACCGTAGCAGAATCAACAAACGCCAGCAGGAACAAAATAATCAATCCACTAACCGCCATTTTGATGTGATTATCCAATAACTTAATTTGTTACCATATACATATCCTAGGCACTTGTTGATCAGAGTCATCTACCCATATGTTATTAATCCTAAGTATTGTAAATATTTATCGTGGGCGGCTCTAACTACAAATAGGAAAAGAAAGTAACAGAGAGTTTGACATCTACCACGTCTGTTGTGGCTTTTGAAATAATGTCTGGTTCATAGAGAGGGGGAGGGGGGAAACCACGAACAGGTATCTTTGTTTTTCTATACGTTATAAAATAAGTAATGATCCGTAGGGTAGTTGAAGTAGAAGTTATATGAAGGAATCGTGACGTCCCGGCCGCCTTTACTTTCTCCGACTTGATTCAATTACCTATTAGAGCTCGATGGACTCAGTGAAGACCTGCAGTTCCAATTCCTCACCGAGATCCGAACTCGAAACCCTCGGGCTATCCGCCTCACGCTCTGCCGTTAGACCACGATCTTCTTCCTTGGCATTAGTGTCATGCAAACAAATATTTACTATTTGAAAACATACTCAGCATCTTATACACCAACACAAATACGCCACTGCAAGTTCCCATAACTACACATTCACCACATAGCATGTAATCAACACGAAGCTAATCCTTCAGATAAGGTTGCGAGATGGGCGAACATTGTCACAGTGTAATTCAATAAGACGTGTTAACACTCCCGTATCAGATTATCTCCGTTATTTGTAAATTCGATCAGTGGTTCATGTGTGTTCAAATGTGTGCTTGGTAGCCCAATGGTGGATGGTTTTAACTTCCACAGCCTCAAAAAAGTGCACTAAGAAAAAGTGAGGTTCCCTTTTCTGATCTGACGGTCCATCGGCAATGTGATGTAGAGTTCGCCTGTTTCTGTGACCTCACCACTACACTACGCCCAGCCGTTTTGGTTCCCCCAACCTAAGTTAATTAACCACCAGAGCTTGGTGGACTCGGAGACGTTCTACAGCTAAATCGATAACATAAATGCAACATCACGCTTTAACCATTTTACAGTAAAAAAAATATAATAGACTATTACATTGTGTCATCTCATTCAACTAACACATGTTATACTTGATTATTTAAGTAGTGTTCTGTATCTATATGTACCTCATTTTAACTACATTTCCGGATTAGTTACCTACGTAAAATTAATACTTACCGGTAATTATTTAGAACATTCTTACTTAATGTTTATCAGGTAGATCTAGTATCTTAAAATGAAGTATATTAAAATAAAAAGTGTAACAAATGCGCCATAACATTGTCAGAGTAACGTCCCTGTTGTAATGTTAATTGAATCGTGTTGAATGATGGACATCAACGATTTGAATAGAATCCTTCCATCATTATTGTTGAATACAAGTTTTGTCAATTTTGCCTTCCGACGGCTGTAACCAACAAAAGTAGGAAAAAAAACAACACAGGTTTAAAAACATTTTCAAAAATTTAATACTTTCGGAATCAATGGTATAAAATTTGCTAATGCAGAAAAATTGATTATAAGCTTTTATGTTTATGGCTATATTTATATTTTTTAATCAAGCCACAATTATTATAATCCGAACTTTTCGAAGACAATCACTGATCTGCTTTACAGAATTTGGTAATCGGTTTTCTAAAAACCACAATTTTTAATAACCTGTTGTCAAAACCTTGCCAAAGGTGTATTTTTTTTTTACATTTTACATTTTTTAGATTGTTTATTAGCTAATTCTTTTTCAAAAATTAAAAAAAAAAATGTATATGTAAAGAATGTTTAAAAAGGTTTCTTCTAAGATTAGAAATAGTTTAAAAGTGAATCAGTTTAATTATAGTCACAAATAAAATATTTTTTCTCCGTGCAGAGTACATCGTCAAGTGGGGGATAATTGGAGTTGTAGATAACACAGTCGGCATCGTATCTGTTGTCTGGTTGTCCTGTAATACAGAAAGATTAAATTACAACAAATTATGGAAGTTTTTTTATTTTATTTTGTACAGGGAACACTGCCTCAGTGGGGATAAGGTGTGATGGTCACAAATTGAGGTGTAGTGTGTTTAAGGGCTGGCCATGAGAGAGAACAAAAACAATGTTTCTCGATCAGCTTTATTACTTCACACAGACTTTCAATTTCGTATTCAATTTCATAGTCTTTCCTAGAATTGCAATTACAACTTGATTTTCAATAAAATATTGCAATTTTAATTTGAACACTGCAATTGCTTTATAATTTCATATAGCCCTTCATTAGGTCTACATACATTACTCTGCTACTCAACGCCCATGTCAGAATACTGTCCTAATCACCCAATGCCTGGGATTCGAATGCCAGTTCAGCCATCACAACTACAAGAGGTCACATGACATGGACACAAGGTTTCACAGGGGCCGCAACTAAATAAGCTGTAAATTATCCCCCCTGATTGATAAATTATGGTATTTCTTACATTCACATAAGACGAATTAGACGGTAGAGCATCAGAATGAGTTCTAGAAGATTATGAAGAATCAGAACTGTGCTTTTATGAATTCGCCACAAGCACTCTCCTCCGTTAATTAAAAAAAAATTATGTTTACGATTGATAACAAACGTATAACTGTGCTAGGTTAAAGTTGGCCCAATGTATTTTTCAAAGAAATCAGTTGGTCAACATGGAAATGTCAAGATCGCAACTGAAATAGTCTGTAATGTTAACAGTTGTTGCCTTGTTCAGTCAAAGTTTAGTTACACGGCGATACAACAGAGTCAAAAATAAAAGTTTGATCCAACAAAATAATCAAAACCGTAGTATGTCGTAATTAAATAATTTCCATTATTTTTAAATTTTCAGGTTTCTAAATCAACTATGAGATCAGGCGTAAAATACTTTACGGATAGACACGCACACACACGCACACACACAAACACACACACACACATATATACATATATATATATATATGTATATATATATATATATATGTATGTATATGTGTGTGTGTGCGTGTGTGTGTGGTGTGTGCGCGTGTGTCTGTGAGAATGTGTGCGTGTGTGTGCGTGTGTGTGAACCTATTTGATGACTGCTATTTTTAAATGAACCAAAGCGCTCTAAATACTTTTAAAAATGCGTTATTTTTTATATTCAATAAAGCCCATATTTAACAAACAAATTGATATAAATTATAACCAGTTTTAATTAAAGAAGAAAAAGTATTTTAATAAATGTAATTTAGCTCCTCTTTCATCTGATTGTATTTCTTTTTGATTGGATTTATTAGAGCGGCCTTAGCTAAGTTTAACTAGGCTACTGTTTTTTCCCTAGGCTAACTGCTGGGAAGCTCAATTCTTTATTTATGACGCTTCATTGGGCACCAGCGCACAAAGCGTAATCTATCTTGCTCTAGAAGACAATATAAAACACGTATAGCTGTCATTTCGTACGCCGTTAACGATTTACATTTACAGGTGAATACAATTGTAACACATACAAGTCAAAAGTGAATCAATAGCCATTCGATTGCAGCTTTGTATAATGGCAAACGCGTGTCAAGTTAGTGCGTTTGTTAAACGTTAAATAAAATTCTCTTTCGAACGTTAAGGTCCATGAAGTAGAGTTCACCTGTTTCTTTGACATCGGCATATAAAAGGATAGTGTGGTCAGCACTATGCTCAGACGCCTTTTCTTTCTTTAACGTACGTTAGGTAACCATCAGAGCTGGGTGGACTCTGAGACGTTCCACTTCCTTGAAACCGAATTCGAAATCGACACTTTCAGGTTAGCAGTCAGATACTCTAAAATCCGACCACACCACCCCAGAAAATGTGTAGTTTATATTTTACTTTTAAGCATCATGTGTAAACAGGATTTCTTTCACAGCATTTTCTCCGCGAGATAGAAGGGGAGAACACTGGTTAAAGTATATAATCTCAAAACAAATGACAAATTCTCTTTTATTTCGACCTGATAGAGGATGACCGTACGCAACTGAATTTAATCATGTTGGATTATGAGCCACAAGCCCCACAACACTATCACCCATCAATACTGCTAACTGCCCTACCTCCACAAAAGATCATCTTCATCCAGGTACTGTTTAGAACAGATCTGTCGTCGCTCCAACGGAAAGTTCCCTCTACTTCCATGTCATCTAGACCTACCCAGTACACACCTGAGAATGTGAGCAGAATGGAGAGTTTCTCGTAGGTTTTTACTGTGTAAAGGTGGCCGCCTTTTGCTGGAGATTTGATTGAGAGCAGTAATGAAAAAAGAATCTCTCTCTCTTTCTCTCTCTCTCTCTCTCTCTCTCTCTCTCTCTCTCTCTCTCTCTATATATATATATATATATATATATATATATATATATATATATATATATATATATATATATATATATATATATATAGGCCAACACAAAAAACGTTTTTCTAAGATTTTGTGTATCTCGGCCTTTTGTCCATGTTGATCGTTTTAGATATCAGCCATTTTGATTTCGGTCTTTTGTCCGTTTTGACCTTTTGGATATCTACCATTTTAAAATTGGCCTTTTGTCCTACGCCAAATATTATAACACACGTTTAAATATAGAAATCCATTGCTAGTTTTTTATAAATATTTGACTTACCAATACAAACTTCTTTCGCAGAACTGAAGTTGAGGGTGTAACTGGACAGCCATACACATGCGCTGTAGTTGCCACTGGTCACAAGTTGCAGACCTGCTGTGGTATCACAGAAGAGACCCGTTGAATAAACTTTGATCTGCTGGTTGGACGGTGACCCAATCGACGGTACAAGCCAAGAACCTTTGTGTTTACAAACAAAAATGTAGACGTTACACAAATGAATGTAAAAGTTAGACTTTAATTTATTTGTTCGTCATGTCTACGCTGTGAACTTTGAGGTACACTGATTTTAATTAATTAACAAAAAAATGTCTAATGCTGCTTGTTGAAGATGATTTTGTTTATTTTGTTTATTTATTTCTTAAAGTGTTCGGTATTCTTTGTTTGTTGCCTTAAAATACACGAGCTGACCCG